ATATATATATATATATATATATTAAATACTAATAATAATTAAATATAATATATTATTAAATCGATTTGATGTTTTGTAAATTTTAAGCATATCACAATTCTCAAACATTCAACACCCCCTTATTAAAGGGGTGCCATTAACACTCCCCAAATAAAAATGTCTTAAATAGAATTATTATTCAAAAATTAGATGTCAAACAGACTAAAAAAATAAAAGTCTAAAACATTATAATCAGGCTAAAACATGTATAATTTGAGGGTCATATGTTCCATTTCTCATATCGAAACTTGCTTATAAATTATCATTTGATAATTTATATGCATATATTCATACCCATATAACCACGGTTTTAATCCAGTTAAATCTCGTGAGTCAGTGGTCATGAATTTGAAAACCATTTATATGACCATTTCAGAAAACAAAAACAAAAAATCAAAAGGAATGATCACTTATTAAAAGTAAAGGGACTGTTTTTAACATATAAGAAAAGTTGAAGGTCTCTTTTGCCAATTGCATTATAAAAAGCAATCCCAGCCGTCGATCTTGATTGTCATTGGGACCCTAGGGTTGTTGGCATTCGAACGCCTTAATTCCTTCTTCAAATCTCCACCGTCTCCGCTATCGCTTTCCCTGCCCACCGCAATCCTCCGGCAGACCGGAAATCCGCCATGGTAATGCTTTCATGATGTCTTTCTGTTAACATAAGAGTTCTCATATCGGGCACAAATCGACCAATTGTTGTGTTTGTTTGGCTTTTTTTTTGGTTTGATGTCATGTGCTAACGTATTTAATCGTAATTGTTCGTATGCTCAATCTTCTTCGCATGAAAATTTCGATCTTTTTTTGTTGCTGCATTGTTTGTATGATTCAACTAGAGGTTGGTCTATCGAATTCAAAATGCATCACCAGTTAATATAATGCGGATTTGTGGTTATTAGTGATGCTGTAAATTACAGTCATTTGGTTTTGTGCTTGAAGGTTTTTGTTAAAGCACAGAAGTCAAGATCGTACTTCAAGAGGTTTCAAGTAAAGTTCAAGCGAAGGAGAGGTATGAATATACCTGTAATTTGTCATGTTGTTTGGTTTGATGGAATGATTTCGAAGCACTTGGATATTTGGATCTTATTGAAGCATTTGGATTTAGAAAGATTTAGAAACTTTGGTTTGTAGAATTTTGAATGGAATTGAGTTCCACCTTTTTAAATAATTTATAAAAACAAATTATAAATTATAATAATTAAATTACCTTTTTTATTAATTTACTATTACAAAAGAATTTACCTTTTTCTAAAAAAATTATTACACACAAATCCTACGAAATACCGTGAAATACCATCAACATCAACCACCTGGGATATCTAAATCTCATGTTTGTGGGATTTCAATGAAATGAAGGATTTCAAATCCAAGCAGTCATTCAAACCAAACATGGGATTGGAATGGAATGGAATTGAATTCCAAATCTGATCCAATCTCGCCAGCCAAACGGATCCTTAATGTATTTTACTCCCATTTGTTGAATGCAGAGGGTAAGACTGATTATCGTGCAAGGATTCGTCTGATTAATCAAGACAAAAATAAGTACAACACTCCAAAGTACCGCTATGTTGTGCGATTTGTATCCTTTTCTTTCCTAGTTTTTGGTCATTTACACTCTGCTTTTGCTGGTGACTATACTGGGTTCTATATCAACAAGTGTTCATATGTTGTCTGATGTAGTAAAGTTCATTGCTCAAAAAATTGGATCCCTTAGAATGTTCATGGATTGCACGCATATCCTTAATATTTCAGCTTGTATTTTAAAATTTTAATTTTGCTTCAACATTATGAGTACTGTACTTGGTCAATTGGGATATACTTCATGTTCTACAATTAGGATTTTGATGGGTTTCTGTATTCAAAGTTTTTAGAACCTCTAACAATCAGCATCTGTCAGATTTTAGAAAATAGCACAGCGTTTTCTATAGTAAATAGTTTGCTGCAAGACTTTTCTTAACGATGGTATTAGACCAACAAGGATATAGTTGCACAAATTGTATCTGCTAGCATTGCTGGGGATATGGTTCTTGCGTCGGCTTATGCTCATGAGCTGCCTCATTATGGTCTCAAGGTTGGGCTTACAAACTATGCTGCAGGTATTGATCCCCCCTTTATTTAAATTTGTGTTTATTGTGGTAGAAAATTGGCTGAAATTTGCTGTTCAAAATTCTGATTGTAGCTTATTGTACTGGACTTCTGTTGGCACGTCGAGTTCTGAAAATGCTTGTGATGGATGAGGAGTACCAAGGAAATGTTGAGGTTTGTAGCATAGATGTTATTTTTAATGGCTTCACTCTCTAAGATGGATTAATTTTCAAAATTGTGTGATTAAATTTGCAGGCCACTGGCGAAGATTTCTCTGTTGAACCTGCAGAAAGTAGGAGGCCTTTCCGTGCTCTTCTGGATGTTGGTCTGATCCGAACAACCACTGGCAATCGTGTTTTTGGTGCTCTCAAGGTATATAGTTGCTCTTGCTTTCAACTTATTAAACTTAAAACTAAACCAAACGAGCCCAGTGCCGGGAGGGTGGGGATGAGAGTAAAATACACGCAGACCTGTCTGCTACCCCAGACAGTAGAGCGGTTGGTCTGTTCTTCAATTTATTTGACTCTTCTCCCTTTATGTTGCATGTTGTTTTGACGTTCTTATTCTAGAATGGAAAAGAATAGCATTTTTATCTATTTAATCTTACAACATCTCTACAAGTATTATAAGATTTAACTCAAATGCATGAGCATGAGACTCCAACTGTTGACATGGGATGAACATAGATTTTTACATTCCGAACTTTTCAGGGAGCACTTGATGGTGGACTCGACATCCCTCACAGTGAAAAGCGGTTTGCTGGATTTAACAAGGACGGGAAGCAACTTGATGCTGATGTCCACCGCAAGTACATTTATGGAGGACATGTTGCTTCCTACATGAGGGTATGCATCTTATGCTTGCAAAACTCGATCTTTATTCAGAAAGCTATGTGAATGAATACCAGATCAAGATAATTATAACTTTGAGGGTCAACTCAACTGCCAAATAAAGGGTTAGGCCTTGGGGTCCTCCCCATAGGTTGCCAGCTCGAGTGTCCTTGGAGCAAAATGCAGATTTTTTCTGGCTGTTCTGTTATCTTCAGGGTGCCATGAGATTAGTTGAGGTCCACAGAAGCTGGCTCGGGCACCCACGGTTACCCCAAAAAATAAAGTTAATTATGTTGCCATGCTTCAAAACTATATGTTTTCTTGAATGAATGCAGACCTTAATGGAAGATGAACCAGAGAAGTATCAGACACACTTTTCTGATTACATAAAGGCTGGGGTTGAACCAGACAATCTTGAAGAGCTTTACAAAAAGGTGCATGCAGCTATTCGTGCCGAGCCTAACCCAAAGAAATCCGAGAAGCAGCCTCGTAAGGAGCACAAGAGGTAATAATCGTTTCTTGTGCTTATTTTGTCTGGTGCTGCACACACACACACACACACACTAGTAAGAGCATCTCCAATAGTTTCTTCAAAACAGAGAAAACAGTCATAATCTAAAAAGAACTTACATTCAACGCCAACAATTTCTTCATTTTGGAGATTCGAATGCTAATTTGTATTACAATATTCAATGCAGTTAATACCCCATATTTGAAATAAGCTTTTTATAAAATAGTATAAAGAACGATTGATGATGCCTTTTTGTATGAAAATCGAACAAAGAACTAAAAAGAACAATTAATAACATTTCTCTGTACTCCAAAATTAAATTTTGGGGATTTTTCCAAATGTGGAGAATTTTTGTTCTCTTTTCTCCTTCATTTTGGAGAATGATTACGGGATCCTTTCGAAGCAAAATTTCTTTTGAAAAAATTCTCGATTTTTTTTTATTTTGGAGATGTTTTAGTATACAAAACCGGGAAGCGTTTAGATGTGATGAAGTAACTGGCTGTCATTTTATTGATTTGTTGTGTGAATTTTGGTGTTCAGATATAACCTCAAGAAACTGACTTATGACGAGAGGAAGCAAAAGCTTATCGAACGGTTGAATGCTCTGAATGCTGCTGCTGGACGCCATGATTCGGACGACGACGAAGAGGATGACGAGTGAAGATTTAGAGGTATTTAGATAGTAAAAAAGGAAAGATTTTTGCAGCTTCAGTTTTGTGGGGTTTTGTTGCTTCTTAGAATTGTAGTTGAGAACTTTATACCATCTCCCTGAGACCAAAATTATCAATTGAATCTTTAACTTGTTTGATTTTTTTCTTAAAATGGAAAGTTTTTTTTTCTTATTAGTATGTGGCTGTGTTTCCCCTTGGTTTATCTTTTTGCCTTTGAAACGGTATCGTTGGCTGTTGCCGGACTAATCTTGGTAAATTGTAACTTTAAGACATGAGCTCTGATAAACTAAGTGGCCACACCGTCTAGAATTGAACCTTGGGTGAATGGAATATTCTACCACATTCCTTGACCATCAAATAAAATCTTTAATCCAGTAAACGCTAACTTGGTAAAAGTTTTTTTTTCACCGACCGAATCGGAAAGTAACCGCTTTCTTACCATGTAAGATTCTTGACCTCTGTCATACTTGCTAAGTAAACATTTACCCAATAAATGTTCAGTAAAAACCATGGCTAAGGGACTTTATTTTATAAAGAATTCGTGAATACCGCAACATATCTTAAAGTTTAATGTGTTTTTAACCGAATTTCACCATTTCGAAAGATTTTAAAAGTTTTTTGGTTAATTTCAAGAGACTTTTCGGTTTTTTGATTGATACTCCTTGTATTTTCTAATATCCCAGAGGACTTCTCGAACTTCAGCGGTGCAACTTTCTACCTCAAAACGAATCCCGCTTACGAAAATAAGTTGAGCGGGGTGCACGAAGCCCACTCAGACATATCTAGGTCCGCCCCTGATCTGAACCCACCCAAGTGAGTACGGGGTTGTTTATTACCCAGCTTATTATTGGGTAAAAGAGGTGTTTACTCGGTATGAAGGGATGTTTACCAACTCCTAACTCCTAATCGGTTTAACGCTTACCCAATTTATGTCAGTAAACGACCTCTAACCCTACCTAAAAGGTGGGAAAAATGCAATCGTAAAATAGTAAATGTACACAATTAACAAACACCAATCGTTCACAATATCATCAACGATATGCTGAAAGAAAACCAATTCTGAAAGTTGAGAAAGATCGATCACATACATCTCCCGGTGCAACATCAATTTGTAGGGATTCATCATGGGTTCGAGGCTTCACCAACATAATCGCATAAACGACTTCTAGTCTTGATCTTCATCTTGGTCAAAATCTTTAATCTTCACATCAGCATCTTCTCCAAATTGAATACAGGTGTCGATTTGGGAAAGAACATACTGTATGCTGCAAATGAAACGAAGAGTAGAATATAAGGAGATTGATTGTAACTTCGTAACGGACAAAGAAAAACCAAACCAAACAATCCCAGTATCGGGAGTTGGTATGTATACAACGTGACCTCTATCCCCGTAAGGAATAGAGCATAGTTGCTTCCGTGAAGACCCAGGCTTGTGAAAAGAGTCATCTACGAAGAAATTTGAATTCAAAAGAGATGAGCTTGAGAACAGGGAAAGAAAGCACCGAAAAAAGGCTAGGTAAAAGCAAACACCACCACCACAAAAACAGAGGCAGGTACAAGGAAACATAGCGACACAACCCTGAACCTATCTAAGACGTTGGTAACCTATCAGCCAGCATCCTAACCCCACACCCCACCCTCTACCTCAATTCATCTTTGAAAAGAATCAAGAAAATACACGTATAGAAAACGCTAAAGGCATCTCCAAAATGGAGAATCATAATTCAAAATCTCCCAAAAAATTACATTCAACTCCAACAGATTCTCTATTTTGGAGATTACATCGTTAACTATATTATTGAAATATTTTATACATTCAGTGAAATATCATCTCTCCCCTAACCATTTTAACATCAAGGTTTCGTATTTGTTGCAATATAATAAAAAGTTATTTCTCTCATGGTAATCAATTTTGGGGAGTTCTCTAATTTGGAGAATTTCACACTCTCCTTTCTCCATTTGGGAGAAAGTCTCAGAGAATCTATTAGAGCAGAAAATTTGCCCAAAATCTCCATTTTGGAGAATCTTTGGAGATGCTCTAATGCATTTCAAAGCTCACATGCATATATGAGATGTAAAAGATATGAGAGTTCACCTGCTCTCCTTCCTTAAATCAAGTGGGACAAAGCTCACCATGCTATACTGATCGACCTGGTACACCATAAAAGTTAACGGTATTAATAAAAACAAGAAAACTCATGCCACTTTAATTAAGTAGCTCCCACGAGATGCAAGATAAGGAGACGACATGAAATTTTTAGGCAGAAGAAAAATCTTCGTACATCCCAGCGAGAGTTGTGTGATCGATGCAAATTGCCAGCCAGCTCAAGGTTTTTGAATAGAACTTGAACAAATGAATTGTGAACTAATCCTAGCTAAAATTTTGAACATCAACTGTCGTAAGTCTATAAACACAAATTAACATATGGCTAATACCATATGAGGATCAAATTCTAGTCTACCTATAAGCCTAATGATACCAAGTGACCTTTGGCCCAATAGTATCAACCCTAGCTCATGGCTCTTTTTAAACATTTGGCACATCAGTTTATTGACTGTTTCACAAGTGAAGAGAGAAAAGCCTAATGGTGATTTATGGAATCAAAACCCACATCTGATACCATCTCTAACTCCCTGCCTCAAAAAATTGATTCAAGACCACACGCATTAACTTAATAAACAAGCAACTGAAATAATCCCATTTAAACCACTTGGGTCATGGCGCACTGGTTAAGGCTCAAGGGGATGTAGTGGAAATATCATCTTCCCTGGGTTTGAATCCAGGCGCTCCCAGAGCCCTTGCCATGGAGCATAAGCTAGCCCGAATACCCACGGTTACCAAAAGAAGAAATAACCCCATCTATGGAATAGATTATTCATATAGTACTAACAAGTCGGTGAAAGAACTCCATGAATCATTTTAGATGTTCCAATCAGAGAGAATATTTTAGATGTTCCAATCAGAGAGAATATTTAAGTCTAAGTGGATTTAAAACTTACCAAGTCAATTAACGCCTTGTTAAGCTTTTGGAATTGAGGAGCCATGCGCTCGTTCAGTTCTGACAGCAGAGTCTGAGGCTCTGGGTTCAGATAACTATTGGAGATCAAACGGAACATAAATTAGAAAAATAAAGCTGATTATAACCGAAATCTATAAAAACACAATCAAAGTAATATAGCAACTAACTCTTCAATGTCTCTTTTTCTAGTCACGAGGTCCATTTTGGAGAGAATGTTAACATGAGGTAGTTCAAGTTGAACCATTGCGGAAAGAGAAGCCATACAACCACTAATAAACTTGGTCACATCCGTGATGAACTGATATAGGTAGGAAAATAATCAGAAAACTGAATGAGGCAAGCAAGTAGGTGGCTGAACAGAAGAGGCCAGTACAAACCTGAGAGTCAAGCAAGTACACAGCACAAACATTGAAATTCTTACGCTGCAAATGCTCCACAAAGTTCTTAAGAACCGGAACATGAGAAAAGAGTTCTATCTGACCTATAAAGTGAAACAATTTCAAGAAATTAGTCTACTATGGCGTAACGTATGTCAAAGCAAACATGGTAACAAATTGATAAATGAGCGGTTACGTAAACAAAATTAGTAAAAAAACCATGTGTAATGTAAAACTACAAAATAAGAAGAAAAAAATAAATGAAATGGTGCAACAAGCAGTGACAGAGTTGGGAAGGGGATTACCAGTTGTGCCGCCCCCCAAAAAAAAAAAAATAGAGCAATTATGATCAATTTGTAAATTTTGCCACCCTTGATAGATTTTTTGGACTTGGCTACTGGCACAAAGTTCCCACCCCATATAGGATCTAATGTATGCGTCCTTTTTTGGCTCAAAAAGGGTGTTATGTTTAATTACTGAGCCATTGTGGCAAGAATGGAACTTGACAGCTCGCACTTAGAGAACCCGTCTTCCCCATTTAGAATTCAAGTCCTTAGTACTCAGATCAGGAAACATACCTACACAACCCCAATTTTTCACAAAGCTTCATAGAGAATTTAATTGAAACTGTACTCACCACCATGGAACATAATTATAAAACAGAAAACATAACAGATATTAATAATTTTTGTAAGTGCACTAACTACATCAGAGGGCCCAAAAGCATTGCTCCATCTTGCTAGTAATATAATTGGAAGATTTTTGCAAATAAGTAAAATCTAATGAGATTTTTTCAATTTCACATAAAGTGTCTAATCAAGTCAATGACATGCATGAGCCATTGCATGCAAGTCTCAGAGAGAGGACAGACAGTCAGATAAGAATTTCTCATCCATGTTTAACTGCAAACTCCATTGATAAGATAGAAGATGATGCTAAAATCATGAAGCATCATTCAACATGCATAGTGAAGATGTTGCTATTTTGACTTCCATTGGTTTAAACATTGCCAAATACTAATATGAATGCAATTAATTTTCTTCTTCAGGAAAAGGCTCGATTCAATAGCATTGCCCTTTGTAATGATCAGTGGTACCTGGGCAATCAAATACTAGGTAATCATCTTCCATGTAATTTTCCAACTCTTCGCTTAACCACTCATCCAGATTTTCTTCAAGGTGTCTGATGAATGGGATTTAAGGAGTTCAAATTCATTGATAGAAAAAAAAAACTACATTGCAGCATAAACAAATGCTGTGTGTGCATGGGTGTGTATTTGACATAGACAACATCCCTGGTAGCTTGGCATGCACCAAGATGGAAGGACATATTAAGGATGGGTGATAAGAAAAAATACAGAAACAAGCATTGAGTGAACGCAGAAAACACAACTGGGAAAGGATACTCCATGCAGTACATAAGACCACCATTTGGACCAAGTCCAAGCTCCTCCATCACATCATCCAAAGATATAAGTTCCCGAATATCTGAAACCACATATGTCACTGCTTATAGGAGGAGTCCATTTATGAGGATTATAAGACAAATAAGCTAAAGTGGACCCATTTACCCATGGCCACTGGATAATCAAAATTCTCTGCAGCAGGATCTAGGTTCACTATATGAATTGTTCGCCGAGTAGCTTCACAGTGTTGGTACAAGCTTGAGCAATAAGTAGACTGAAAGTAGCAAAAGAAAATTAGTGATCTGGCAAAAACCCCAAAATGTACCAAGGGAAATTGACAAACATAGCCAAACTACTCAAAGCAATTCAGTTTATAGCCATTTCAGGACCCTTTTTCACTAAATAGCAAATCCTAATGCAGAAGGCTTGCACATATGTGTAGGGATTGCTTTTCGGCAAAAAAATCCTTACGCAGATATTTCCCAATGCATAAGGTAATTAGATTTCATGTTACCTTTCCACTTCCAGCAGGACCGATTACAAGCTGAGCATAACCCATAATTGCCCCCTCTTTGCTTTAATCTCTATCTCTTCTGCTTCTCCCCCTCAAACTGATTTACCAATTGAATATAGAAATACAAATAAAATTGGAGAGCAGAAATAACCGAGTAATTGAATCAAGAGCATATGATGCCGCCCAAACACCAGGCACAAATTATAAGTTCAAACCACAAGGGTGATGAGTGGTTGGTTTGAGCTTGGCTCCAAAGGTCAAAAGTACGTGGAGGTCCTAAGTTCAAATCCAAGGAGGAATAAAAATCCCCTTGTGGCCACGGAGGTTCAGATGCGGTGACTCTGGGCTATCTGCAAAGCAGGTGGTCGCCGTGGGATTAGTCGGTTCACATAGCGGGTTGGATATCCAAGTTAATCAAAAATAATAATAATAACAATAATAATAAGTTCAGGCACCAGGATGATCCATAAAAACCAGATCGATAAGAAATACATAATAATAAAACCTGAACCAATAATAAAATATGAACCCAGGGTTCGATTCCAGGTGTATACAACAATTGTGGCCACTAAGTTTATCAGGGCTGATTTCTTGCACTCTCAATTTGCCGGGATTAGTCCAGGCATAGCCTGGGACACCCTTCCACTATATATATATATATATATATATATATATAT